CACGAAGTCCATGGAGATGGACTGCCACCGGTGAGTTGGGATGGGCAATGATTGGAGTTTGTCGGGTTTGGCCCGGTTCGAGGGGTTGACAGCTTGACACGTGGGGCACGAGCGAATGTATGCCTTAACGTCGACGAGTAGGGAAGGCCAATAGAAGTAGCGGGAGATGGTGTCGAAGGTCTTCTGGAAACCGAGATGTCCTGCGGTCTTGGCGTCGTGGTGCTCGGCCAAGAGCTGAGTACGGAGGCCTCGTGCGTCGGGGATGCAAAGTCGGCGAGTGCCTTTGGTATTGATGTAGAGGAGATTGTTGTGAAGGGAGTAGTCGGGAACTGAGTCTAGATCGCGGAGCTTGTTGTAAATGGTGGCGAAGTCTGAGCAGGAGAGATAGCCTTGGGTGTATCGATGATGAAGCAATGGAAGGAGTTGAATATGAGACATGGTGGCGTAGACTTTCTCGGGGGGCTTGTGGTCGGGTCGTCACGAGAGGGCATCGGCAACGCGGTTGCTTTTGCCGGGGGTATGGCAAATGGTGAATGTGAACWGGGCAAGGAAGTCTAGCCAGCGGGCTTGGCGTGGAGTGATATCTTTCTTGGAGAGGATGGAGRAGACGATGGTGTTGTCAGTGCGGATGGTGAAGTATTGCCCGTCGAGGTACGGGCGCCAGACTGTGAGGGCGTGAATCACGGCGAGGAGTTCCTTCTCGTTGGAGGGGTAATTCATCTCCGCAGGAAGGAGCTTCTTGCTTGCGAAGGCGATAGGGTATTCGCCAGGTGGAGCCTCGGGGTGAGTGGGCGMGTCCTTGATGGAGGGGGTCTCGGTGGTGTCGTGGGGGAAATGTTGGGATAGTACGGCTCCGATGACGAAGTCGGAGGCGTCAGTGGTGACATAGAAATGGCGAGTGGGGTCGGCGATCTTGAGGGCAGGGGCCGTGGTGATGGTTTGCTTGAGTAAGTCGAAAGCTTGTTGGCGGCGATCGTTCCAATGGAAAGGCTCGTCCTTGCGGGTGAGTTCGTGGAGAGGGTAAGAGATCTCAGAAAAGTTGCGAATGAATGGGCGGTAATAGTTGGCAAGGCCAAGGAAGGAACGGAGTTGGGGGAGGGTCTTGGGTGGGGGGTAGTCGACGAGGGCTGTGACCTTCGAGGGGTCCATACGGATGCCTTCAACGGAGACAATATGGCCGAGGTATTCGACGCTCAAAGCGGCAAACGTACATTTGTTGAGCTTTGCGTAGAATTTTTGCTATCGGAGGATAGCGAGGACTTGGCGGAGGTGCTGAAGGTGGGACTCGAAGGTGAGGCTGAAGACAAGGATGTCATCAAGGTAGACAACGACACAGACTTCGAGGAGGTTGCGGAAGATGTGGTTCATGGTGGATTGGAAGGTAGCGGGG